CCCTTTCCATCAATGCTGAAGAAACACTATGGGTAAACACAGTTAAGTAGTTAGGAGGGCACACTGTGTGGCTTCAAACGCCAGTGGCGGTATCCGCCATGCTTCTGTGGTGCTTAGGGGGGGGTGGTCCTACCTCACTGTACCTCAGTCTCATCTGTGAACTGGGGAGAACTGCAGCACCTCCCTCAAATAGTTAGGAGGGGTCCACAGCCAACAAGAAAAACATTTATTGAGTGCCCGCTCTGATCAGGCGGTGTGCTAGACACATAGTGAGCAAGGCAGAGGATGATTAAATGAAATCATGCTTGTGAAGTGCTTGTGATCACGGTGTCTCTCAGATGATAAGTGTGCTGCAGGCCACGTGCTACTAATGAAATACAACGGACAAACTAAAAAATGTGTACTGGTTAGATTTTCATGCAACATACATACACAGACGCACATTACGCCTTTTGTTACTTCCACGTTCCTTATTTATCCCCACAAAACGGCCCTGGGGAAAAGGCAGGACAGAGATTTTATGCCATTTTTAGTGATGAAGAAGACAGGCGGAGGCGCTGGGGAGTTAAAAGGTTGATAAACCGGTGACTGACAACGGGAGACGGCGGGGCATTTTAAAAAGAGAACCAGCGGAGGGCAATGTTCCACTTCAAATCCCTCAGTAGCGGAGTGGGCCCCGGTTCTGACGCGGCTGAGGGTGGGAGAACCGGTTTGGGGGAGGACTCCAGACACAGGGCGCCCCAGCCGCGCGGGCTGGCGGGACAGGGTGGACACGCCCGGGGGCGCACGTTCGCTGAGCTTAGAGCGGGCAGAGGAGCGCACGTCGCGGGCTCGACGCTGGGTGGCGCTGCCGGGCCGCCCCGCTCCAGACCTGTTGAGCCCAGGTCGCATCTAGGGCAGGTTTAGGGTAAAAAGGGCGCTCCGCTGTCTCCGCGCGCCCCTGTGGCCCTGGCCACAGCACGTTCCTCCGGGCACCCTAGGCCCCACCTGAACTTAAGGCTCCCATTCATTTGGCCTCTGCGTTCCTCGCCGCAACAGTTCTAGGCGCGTCGGGTGGGGCGGGAATAAAGTTTTCCCAACCCGGACTGGGAGAGGGCTGGATGGGGAGGACCCTCCCCGCTCCAGACTCCACAGCGGGCAGGACTGTATCCCCTCGGCTTTCAAGGCCGTCCCGGGGGCTCTGCTCTGGGTAGGTGCCAGCCCCAGTGCGGACCGGATGGGCTGACCCGCGCACCGCCCCCTCCCACCCCCTCCCACCCCCTCCCACCCCCTTCCCCATCCCCTCCCCCGCCTCCGGCGCGCACCGGCCCCGCGTCTCCAGCCCCGCCTGCGCCGGGGTCGCTGCAGTCCCCGCGGCTGCCCCGGGCTCCTTTCCCAGGCGCCCCGGCCTCTTTCCAGCCAGGGCAGCGCCTCGGGGGGAGCGCCGGACTGCGAGAGTGGCCGAGGCGGGGGCTCTGGGCGCCCCAGCTCTCCCAACCTGGGAGGCGGCCCCGACTCCGGGAGCCGGAACGCAGGGAAAGGCAAGGACGGGGCGGCCGGCAGAGGGGCGGGCGCCGCTCATCAGCCACGCCAGTCACGTCTGGGGCCACCCGGCTGCCTTTTTCTTCCTTTCCCCCTTTGCTTTCTCCCCCCTCCCCTGTTGGCGAGGGCAAAGTGGCCGTGGCGGCGCCATGCCCGGGCCGGAGTGAGTGCGCGAGGGCGAAAATGGCGTACATCCAGGTAGGGCTGAGGCTGGGGGGCAAGGTCCGCGGTGCGGGTGGGGGGTGCCGCGCCCCCTCCGGCCGTGAGCGCGCGGAAGGGAGGACGCGCGGCGGGGCTTCCACAAACTTGCCTTGAGAAAAAGGGTGCCCGAGGGCACGCAGCCTGTGCAGTGGCGGGGGTGCGACCCAGGATAAGGGGCTGGGGACCCCCACACCCCGGGATGAAGGGCCCCTGTGGACTCTGCACGTGCGCCCTCACCTCCTGGGGAGGAAGTGGGGGTGGGGCGCACTTTTCTGCCCCCATCCCCTCCCCTTGCACCCCACCCCAGGGGAGGGGCCGCGGGGAGGGCGGCCCGGGACGCGCCAGCCGCCCGGCCCGCCAGCTGCCGTTGCCGTGGTGACGGCTCTGGCTAATTGGCCGGCGGAGCGAGCCTGAGGCAGCTGTTCCGGCCTGGAGGGACAAGGACGTCGTCTCTCCTGGGCACTGGGTGCTGAGGGGTGGGGGATATACTATAGGCGCGCTGTTGGTGGGGGCGGGAGCTACCGGTCGTTTTCGGCCATTGCATTGGGGTCTGGCAGTTGTGGACCCCCATCACCTTGAGGAAACTCTCTCAAGAATTCTTGGACCGAAATAATTTCCAGGCATTCTTTTTTGGGGAGAGGCTGCTTGACAAGAGACCTTTCCCTTCGATACAAGGCGGGGAAGTGGCGACAGGTCAGCGCCAAGGTCATGCAGTCAGACCTGCAGTCAGACCCGTTGAGCTGCTTGCTTTCTGGGGTTGGCTCCTCTCTGCCCAGCGGAGAAGCCTACAGGTTCCCACACTGAGGGTGCATCTGGGCTCACTTCTCTTCTCCTCGGCTACAGCTGGGAGGGCTGCTGATTTCCTAGTTCCCCACTGGCTCACATCTTGTCCTCAGACTTTACAACCTGGCAGGAACTCTGTGCTCTGTCACCCATCTTGGTCTTTCCATCCCTCTGGTTGGCTTAGATTTGCTCCTTTGGCTTCTGTGGAATCTTTAGGTCCTCTTTTCAAGTTCAGTGAAGGTCATATTTATTGTACATTTACTGCATGCTGAATGTTGGGGGGCTATTCAGTAGTCACTCAACAAATACGTGAGCGCTTTGTGAAAGCAGCACAGCCTGCCCCTCAGAATGCATAGTTCAGTGCGAAATACACATTATTAGAACAGGCTTCTGTGGTTTTTAATAACCACCTTCAGGACAGAGATCAGTGACTTGCCCAAGGTCACACAGCTGCTTAGGGGTCTTGGGGAAATGGTGGGGGACAGTGGGATTTGTTAAGCAGCTAAAATGAGTCTGCTTGGTGAAACTGACTTTCCTTCTGCAACAAGGTATGAAACTTTTTCTATAAAGGTCCAGATAGTAAATATTTTTCTTGGAGCACTACATGGTCTGTGTCACAGATACTCAAGTCTGAGTATGGCTTCAAACAGCCATAGACAATAGTAAATGCATGGGCGTGGCTGTGTTCCAATAAAACTCCTGTGGCCGCTGAAATTTGAATTTCATATATTGTGTGCTAAGAAGTACTCATTTTCTTTTGATTTTTTTCCCAACCATTCTAAAATGTACAAAAATTATCCTTAACTGGAGGACCGTACAAAAGGAGGTTGTGGGCTAGATGTAACCTTTCAAGTCATAGCTTGCCAACCCCTGTTCTAGAATATCTGGATTCTCCTTCTTCCTCTTTCTTTCTCGCTTGAATCAATGATCCTCCATCCAGTCAAATACATGAACGCCGAGGACCCAATGTAAAGAAAGACTTAGCATGCTGGGAACGTAAAAACATGTTACCTCCCCTCTTCTTCCTTAGTTTCTCTTTGCTCCTTGGACCTTCCTCCTGTACCTGGGGTTTGAGAAAGCTGGATGATTGGGCCCTGTGGTGGCCTTGTCTCTACACACATGATTTTATAAACGGTGTCTTTTGATCACCACACACCCAAGAAATGCTTTCCTCTTAGAAAAGAATGGGCATGGACTGTTGTCCAAGGAAAAAGCAGCCCTTTATCTTTGCACTTTATTGTAAGCATCTTCAAGCACTTTCTCATGTCAGTGTACGAGGGCCTAGCTTATTGCTGCTTTTTCACTTTCAGGACAGTCTCTGATGCCTAATAGGTTCCAGCTGGTCTTGACAAAACCACCTTATTCTCATAAAGCTAGGGAAAGAGTGCAGATACTTTGTAGCTGGTCAGCACATGCAGGCATTTTCAGAGTCCTAGCTTAGCCCTTCATTGAAGAAAAGAGGTAACTGAGGTTCAGAGTGGCCCCCTGATTTACCCAAGTCACATGATTGGCTGGTGGTGAAGCCGGCTCTAACACTTATCCTCTCAGCTCTGTGTGGCTCCCAGGCATATTCAGGTCTTGTTCTGTGTGTGGTTCAACTTTTGCTTTTGGAAGAGTTTTTGATTAGTTCCTGAGACTTTCTTTCCCAAGCTGCAGCCATTCCCTTATCACTTCAAGGATTTTTAATTTTTCATGAGCTGTGTACCACTTGTACTATATTTACTTAATACTTTTTCCTATAAAGGGACTCACTTTTTTTTTTTTTTAACTTAAAATCGTATGAAAAAGAAACTTGATGTCACTACCATAATAGAAAACCAGGATCACTTGATATAAAGAGAAGGCAGCTGGAAAAATAAACACAAGGATAATAATGCCACATATTTGCTATGTCCAAGACTCCGAGCTGAGGTCTGCTCTCTGTTTAGAAAGGAAGAGGGGCTGGGGTGGGGGGGTAGATGTACAAGGGTTAGAAACATGTTAACATGCGGTGGTACCAAACTGAGACCTCCACCTCCTTGCGAGAGAACTGAAAAAGGGGATAACTTTCTTTGTCTGGATTCGACGTTCCGAGTTTGAGTTCATCTCCGGGATTTATCCCAGGCTGGGATGCGGAACTCCTAATCTATCTGGTTTACTTGGCCCCTTGGTTCCTAAGCCACTGCCACTCTTCCCTGGCGGTGGGGGGGTGGGGGGAGGGAGTCTATGCCTCGGGAACCTGTGAGAAGAAGTCCTGGTGGGAGGTGGGGCTGAAAAGGGAGGTAGCCCCACCCCCCGTCCCCTCCCAGGACCAGATTATGGCTTCCTTTTCTGCTCCCTGTGTTTGTGGGTGGTCATATGGAACTCCCCACCATCACCATTGGAGCAGGATTTTAAGGTAGGGCCCCTGGGAGGGTGGGAGAAGCCAAGTCACATCCCAAGTCACACATTGTGTCTGTCTGCCTCTTAGCTAATCATGTCCTTCTGGGTTGGCTTCATGGCTATTTCTGTATGGGAAGGTTTGCTCTTCTGAAGTGTGGCTGCGTTGGATAGCATGACTATCTATCCACCCGCTCTGATTCATAACAGCATACGGTGCAAATCAAATCGAAATGCTAAAGTTTCCCATTTATTCGGTGCTGGTTAGCCAGGAGGCTACCGGCAGCCCCGTAGACAGCAGCAGCTTGTTAGGGAGTCAGCTCCCTTCCCAGGATGGTAAGTGGAAAGATGGAAAGGTGCAGGCCTTTTTTTTAAATTTCTTTCTTTTTTTTTTTTCTTTTCTGAGTTGCTGGAATATTGCTAAACTGGTCTTGTCTCTCTTTTTGTAATCCTCTCGCCCCCGACGCCCTTGGCTTCTCCGTGGATCTCTAAAAGGGCAGTTGGAACCTTTGAACGAGGTGGGTTCATTCGATGATTCCTTTGGTCTGGTTTCTGATCAAGAGGTGCTTGCCTTTCGCTTTGGAGTCTTATGTGGGGCTGCGGGGCTGTTCAGTATTAAAGAACGACTGGATGCTTAGAGTGACAGTGGTTTTGCTGCCTTTCTGCGGAAGGGAGGGAGATCCCGAGGAAGAGGAGACACTCCTGTAGACAGGCTGGATTGCTCCCCACCTACCCCTTCCTCACTCCGTTCAGTTACCTCTATTTACTTTCATGTCACTGAGATGATTTTTTTTAAAAACCTCTTTTGCTTTGCTTTCAAGAAGGCAGAGTAATATTCATTGTGTCTCGAGAACATATTGTATAAGCCCTCACGATGTTGTATAAACCACCCACCTGTCAAGAAAGACATTCACGTAAACTACCCGGGAAAATACCTGCAAATGTTTTGCTCGCTATTAACGGCTCAGCGAGTTGGTGTTTGCCATCTTGGTGCCTGCAGTTGGTAAATAGAAACAGAAAACATTTTGTTCTAAGTGTTCTGCTGCAGAGACCTCCTGAATGTCCTTATTTCCCAGCAGGGATCAGCCGCTTGTAATTTTCAGGTGTTTTTCCTTTTCCTCCTCTCCCCTCCTCCCTCCCTCCCCCACACCCCCTCTCCACTGCTCACCTCCCCCGATGGCCTCAGGGTTTTCTTTCTAGAATCTCCGATCTGCTACTGTGTAGATGGACTTGCAGGCACTGCTGTCAGAGGTGCTATGAATCCAGCTGTTGCCAGTCGAGTGAGGATGAAGTTGAAATTCTGGGACCTTTCCCTGCCCAGACCCCTCCCTGGCTGTAAGTAAAAACTGCTCTGAACTTCCTTGGAAGCGATCTCGATCTTGAGAAGTTTGCTTTGCTCTGTTGGTGTGTGGGGGGTGCGGGTAGGAGGGCTCGGGGGCGTGAAAGAAGGGAAACGCCTGGCGTCCTTGGACCTCTGTGCTGCACACGGGGACCTGCTGCGCGCCTCTCATTCTGTCTGGCAAGCTGGTGGCCGGCCTCTAGCTTCCCCTCCGTTTCCCTCGGTTCCTCTGAGATGCAAACCGCTCAGTGCTAAGCCTGTGTGCGCTTTTTTTTTTTTTTTTTTTTTTAAAGATTTTATTTATTTATTTGACAGAGAGAGATCACAAATAGACGGAGAGGCAGGCAGAGAGAGAGAGAGGAGGAAGCAGGCTTCCTGCTGAGCAGAGAGCCCGATGCGGGACTCGATCCCAGGACCCTGAGATCATGACCTGAGCCGAAGGCAGCGGCTTAACCCACTGAGCCACCCAGGTGCCCCCTGTGTGCGCTTTTAATCAACGTTGAGTGTCATTCCACGTGGAAGGAGAGATCTGGGAGCACCTGCATTCCTCAAGGGACGTCCAGATTCTAAGGACGGCTGTCCACGTCAGAACGACCCATGGTCCTAGCCCCCGCCGACCCAGTGCCTGGCACAGAGTTGATGCTCAGTACCAGCTGCTCCTGGTTGGTAGACCGAGTGGACAAACAGGTGCCTTTTTGCTGGTCTGAACGTGAACTTCAGGCACAGGCAAGCAGAAAAGCACTGCCAGGCTCCATCCTGTCCTCCAACGCTGTTTATGTTCTCTCTGGCATCTTTCATTTTATTTCCAATTCGTGCTCCTCCCGCGCCTGCACACAACGTCTCCATCTGCCAGTCGCTCAGATATTTTGGGAACATAGTTTTGAAGCTTCTCAGCCATGTGTCTGGTCCACCTCTCGGTGGCTAAGGGAAGAACTCGGCCAGAGAGCCTGGGTTGAGTCTGGAAGGCCAGCACCGAGAAGGGCCTGGCCGTCATTGAGTCCACCTCCTCCTGAGTGAGAGCTGGGAGCTCCGAGAGGGCAGGAGGCAATGCGAGGGCCCACAGCCGGAGCTGCAGTGGGAACCCGGTGCTGTTCCAGCTCAGTCTTTGAGCTGTTCCAGGTTCTGGAAGTCCACGACATACCCTCTTTCCCTCCAAGCTGGGGGGGGTCATGTCTCCGTCCTCTCACTTGCTCTTCTTAGAAGCATCAAATATTGCCATAGCAACATGGCTCTGTGTCAGGCTCTGCGCCTTCAAATCCTGTGTCTCCTACTTTTTCCCAGTTCTGTGACCTGGGGCAAGTTGTTAGGTCTCTGTGCCTTGATTTCCCATCTGTGAAATGGGGATGATAAAAATAATAGGGTTTATGTCATATGGTGGTTGTGGTGACTGCCTGACTTCGTACACAGAAAAGCGTTTACAAATGCTTGACACTTGCTTGGCAAGCATTAATGTAAGTGGTTCGTCTTAACCCTGTTTGGTCTTGGGTTCTGCGTCTGTAAAGTGAGAATAGTAATAGAACTTGTTTTATAGGGTTGTGATTCAGAGTAATGAGGTGTGCACATAACGTGCTTCACAGAGTAGTAAGTATTCATTTCTGAATTTGTAGGTATGGATGGAGATTCTTTAAACTGGTGTAAAACAGTGTTCAGCAATGCTTTCATTAGTCATGGGGTATATATAGCCTGAATCCTGCAGGTACACACGGAGTTGAGACGTTTGGGGAATGATCGAGAGATCGTTCCCACTGTCTAGTGCCTTGTGTCGCTGAGGTTGGCTCAGCGCATCTGGTATCTTGAAAGCCATGCTCAGAAGGATGCTGGCTTAGTGAGGGCATGGTTTTTATCTGTGTTGTTCACTCCAAAAAATGGTTATTGACCCGCTGATGAACCTGTAGGCAGAAATTGAGCCTGTAGGCAGAAATTGAGCCTACAGGCAGAAAGTGCCAGTCATCTGGTTGAAAACTTAATCTGTTTCTTTGGTAACTATGTCTCTGGTATGCTTTGTGGGGAGGCACTGTGGGATGCAGAGACTCAACACAGTCTGATTACTGTGCTCAGGAGATTTTAAATGTGGTAGAGGGGATAAGGCAGGTATGTAGGTCCAGCCACCCCCAAGAGTTGTGCATTCACACCCTGCACACCTTTATGACAGTTTTGCATAGTATCATTATAGAGAAAAATCCTGGGACAGTGGCTTCAGGCATAGCTGGATCCAGGGGTCATATGTTGTCATGGGCATGCATTTGTGCCTTCTTCCCCCCCCCCCCATTTCTTCTATACTGGCCTCATTCTTTTTTGAGGAGTGGGGAGGGGAAGAGGGAGAGGGAGAGAGAATCTTAAGTAGGCTCCATGCCTAGCTTAGAGCCCAATGCAAGGCTCAGTCTCACAACCCTGAGATTATGACCCAAGCCCAAATCAAGAGTCAGACGCTTCACCAACTGAGCCACCCAGGAACCCCATATTTGCTTCATTCTTAAGCTTGCTTCTTTGCTTCATTCTCAACAGCAGCAAACAAACCAGGAAGGGCTCTTATTTGTCTGATTTGGGTCATGGGCCAATGAGTTGAGCCAGTCACTTTTGCTTGGAGGAAGTGGTGCTAGCATCATGCCTGGATTATCTGACCACCCTGGAACCAGGGAAAGGGCCATCCCACCTGACACATGTGAACCAAGCTTGTAGACCAGGGCTGGGCACACTTTTCCTAGAAAGGACTTAGTCTGTCCCAACCGCTCCTAGACATAGTGTGGGAGCAGCAATAGACCGTGCATTACTGAATGGGCATGGCTGTGTTCCTGTCTTACTTCAAAGTCAGGTAGCAGATTGGGCCCCAGAGTTTGCCGATTTTTGTAATAGACAGTTTGGGTGCTGTAACCAGAGCAGTTACAGAGGGAATAGACCCAGGGTGGGCAGACTCCACAGCACCCAGGAAGAGTTGGGGAAGTCATGGAAAATGAGCCTGTAAGCTCAGGTCCTGTAGGGTCTTGAATGCCAGATCAAGGAATTTGAATTGGCCTTTGAGCCAGTGCAGAATCCTGATGGACCCCGAAAATCACAGTCAGCTACCTGTTTACCGCAGATGCCCAGATGTTGAGTGTTATGGATGCATGGCCTAGGTTCTAGCACTGAGCTGGAGGACAGTTGCACTTTCCCCTGGCTGCTGACCCATTGTGCAGGTGGGGGACTCCTTCTGGGGGCAAGGAGTGGAGACCCTCTGGGAAGACGCTTTGGTTTTGCCACAGGCTGAGAAGAGGGCTGGAACCTTTCCAGCAGGGCCAACACACTGCACAACTCTGGAAGGCCCCATTCACCTGGTGGTCGTTATGAATACCACCTAGAACTTTGCAGTCTAGAGCCTGAACAACGGTACATGACTTTCCGTGCTTCTCAGGATGAATATCTTGAATCCTGGGTAGCACCTTAGTATACATTATTGGCACTCAACATAATGCAAAATGTTAAGAGAAATCTGTAAAGGGGAGGCGGGTTAAATCATTCAAAAAGTGAATTTGCAGCTTGTGCTTTCCCCAGATTTATTTACCAAGTGGGCAGTTGTATGTTATCAAACAGGCAGAGAGTAGAAATGTCAAGTGTACAGGCTTTGCAGTGCTATTCCTACTGTGACATTTGAGCTAAGAACCACAGGACATACCTTTCCGTGGGACGGCCTGTGGCAGATGAGCTAGTCCTTTGTGTGTGGGATTTTGGGGAACACACCACACCATTAATTGTCACACAGGCTCCTGTCATTTGGGTCCCCCAGCTTTCCTTGGCTGGGCCAGGCTGGTGAAGGTCGGGAAAACCGTATACAGTCCGACTGGCTGCTTTTGGAGTGAAGCCAGAGAGACCCTCATTGAAGAGTGAACTAACATCAGGTCATTTCTTTGTCCATCAAGCGTGTATCGAGGACCTACCATGTCCGTAGCTCTGACAGGTCTCACAAGGGATACCCAGCTCAGTAGTTGGGGGCATGCTGGTATTGCTGGCCATTGGGAGTGTAACAGGTGCAAAATAATTATCCATCCCATCCCCCACCCCCTGTCCCTCGTGCCCACACCCCCCCGCCAATCTGTAAATGGGGTGAACCTTGTTAATAACAAGTAAACTCTGGATTGTTTTAAGGATTAATGAGATGGTTCAGACAGAGCATTTAGCACAGTGCCTGACACATACTGGGTGCCTAGCACCTGGTACCTTTAATCAAGAGAAGTACAGATGCCCCATTAAGGAGTGTACCCTGCTGTGCGGTGGGGGGGGGGAGGGGCAAGATATGCACTCAGATAATTTTAAGACAAGATACATCAGGAAAGAATCCTAAGAAGGGTGAATTCATTCCTTCATTTACTGAGAAATAAATGTGGAAGACCCCACACATGCCAGACGCTGTACTGGGGCAAGGTCGGCCGTGGTGAACGGGCGACACTGAGTCAGAATTTAGTGTCAGACGCAAAAGATAAGCATGGTTGAAGAGGGAGAAAAGGGCTGATGGGGTGAGAGGAGGTGATAGGTAGGGACAGGGTGGGGCCTCTCAGAGGAGATGCTGTTGAAGCTGAGACATGACTCAGGATGAGAAGGAACCTGACAGGCGATGGAGACAGGAAGAGTGTTCTGGGCAGAGGGAAGATCGTGGCTCAGCTCAGTGTGCTGGGGGAAGGGCTGGGAAGCCCGGGGAGTGCAGAGGAGGAGGGTGGCTCAGTTGTTGTCTGAGAGGACTCATCTGAGGCTTCAGGGGCCACAGCCCTTCAGCTGAGCCTTGAAAACTGGGTGGGACTTCACAGGTGGAGGTGGCCGCTGCACTGACTTATGGCAGCGGCCCTCCAGGAAACAGGCTCGTGGCTGGGGGTGCCTGAGGTGGTTCCACCTTCGAGAGAAGAATCAAGCGTACAGTATGGCTGCATTTCTGTGCCTTCCCCTGCCGCCCCCCCCCCCACCCCCGGCCATTCCATCTGCTACGTGCACCTCTTACAGACCGGGAGTGGGAGGCAAGCAAGGACTGGGCATTCCTCTGCAGCCCCCCTCCACCCCTCATCATATGCCTGGTCTTGTCCTGGCTGTGACCCTTATATTGCTTTGGGATAACATCAGATCCATCTCATTTCATGCACAGGATGTATCTGAAGACCTCCTAGAATTGGAAACTTGCATTTTTCAAGACTAGCTTCTGCACAGACTTAAATGTCATGCTGGGGGCGGAGTGGGGGGGTGCGGTCTCAGAAGGTATCCATCCACAGCCAGGGTAGCTTAGGGGCGCGTCAATAGCAGCATCAGTCTCTCAGGCGCTCCGCCACCTTTTTAACCCTCCTCTCCCTTCCCCTCCCCGTGGCATCCTCACCTAGCTTTTTGGGGACTGGGGGCTCTTAAAGATTGTAATAATACTAGCCAAAATGTATTGAGCACACACCTACTACTTAGGACTATTCTAAGCATTTTATATGTGCTAACTCATTCAGTGTTGAGAGCAACCATCTAAGGTAGGTACTGTTATTATTCCCATTTGACGGATGGGTAGATGGAGGCACGGAGAGAGGAAGGGCCTTGCCCAAGGTCACCCAGCCAGGGTTCAGACCAAGAGGTTGTGCTCTTAATTACTACCCTGTATCTTCCCATCCCCGACCCAGTGCTTTTTCTTTTAGTATTTTTCATCCTCCTTGGGAGCGCATTGGATCACGGCTTCTGCTCATTTTAAACTATTTCTTCCCATCAAACTATTGCTCTTAAGTCATTGATTCTCAGGGCCATTTTGTAGCTTTAACCTTGACTCAGAGAACTCTTGAGTTGACACTGTTACAGGATACTTTTATTTATTTTATTTATTTATATATTTTTTTTAGATTTTATTTATTTATATGACAGACAGCTAGAGGGGGAACACAAGGAGGGGGAGTGGGAGAGGGAGAAGCAGGCTTCCTTCCTACAGGGAGCCCATGCAAGGCTTGATCCCAGGACCCTGGGATCATGACCTCAGCCAAAGGCAGACGGTTAATGACTGAGCCACCCAGGCATCCCTATAGGTTACTTTTAAAAGATATAAAGTATAGACTCAGGATTGAAATAGCAGGCCATTTCCACCAAAAGCCACTTGCAGAAGTTCAGATGAGAATACGCCAACCCCATGGTTCTTTCCAGACTGAGCATCAAGAGGTCTTGGCTTGACTTAGCCAACGTGGCGCCCCCATGTGGCAATAGCCTGAATAAGCACGTATCCCCACCATCCTCTCTGGAAATCATGCACATTCTTGACAGATTGTTCTAAAACAGAAAGTATTTATTCATATCATTTCACATCTTATGCAAAAAGTAAGACATTACTGAGAGTTTAGGGCTGCCGCACTGATTCAAGTTTGTGTTACTGCAAGTTGTATACACTGGATCTGAGAGCTGTTTGATCGCGGGGCTATCCTCCCAGGGACAGAGGTGCCAGTCCCTGGAGATTTTTAACAACCATTGAGACCTCTTTCATTCCTATAGGATGGCCAGCCGGAGCAGTGACAAGGACGGGGACTCCGTCCACACAGGCAGTGAAGTCCCTCTGACCCCACGGACCAATTCCCCAGATCGAAGATGCTCGTCCTCAGACACATCTAAGTCTACGTACAGCCTGACCCGGAGGATTTCAAGTAAGTGTCTTTGCTGTGACTGCCTAGGGGTCGTGGCTAATGTGGTCCTGTGCCGTTCCCCCTCCATGCGGGGTCCGCAGGTTAAAAATCCCATTAGCCAGGTCTTCAGGACCAAAGGAGAGAGCTGGCTTTTCCAGACACTCGGTGGCATCCCCAAGGAAAGACATGAGGGAAGGGGTTGTCTCTGGGGAGGGGGCACAGTGGAATGGCAGCCAGGAGACAAGAGGATAGAGAAAGAATGGCGATGTGACAAGAGTGCGTTGCACCTGATTTCTTCTGAGTTCAGTCAGAAGCACTTTTTTTTTTTTAAAAGATTTTATTTATTTATTTGACAGATCACAAGTAGGTAGAGAGGCAGGCAGAGAGAGAGAGGAGGAAGCAGGCTCCCTGCCAAGCAGAGAGCCCGATGCGGAACTCGATCTCAGGACCCTGAGATCATGACCTGAGCCAAAGGCAGAGGCTTAACCCACTGAGCCACCCAGGCGCCCCAGAAGCACTTACTTTGATCGATTTTTCTTTTTACTGATCACAAGTTTCACCGAGTTGGCTCAGTTGATTGATGTGGTCCACGTGTATCATTTCAGACCCCAAAAGTCACAAATTCGAGTAACTTTCAGGGCCAGGCGGGTCATGTCAGTGAGTGACTTGCAAAGGGTTGAGCAGAGATGAGGATTGTTCTAATGCAGTGACAAGTGGCAGCTGACTTGGCCTCAGTTGCCAGGGCAGGGTGAGGACTGTGGCCCTTTTGGGAAGCTACCGCCCGACTGAAAGGGACAGCTGTGACTCATTCTTGCTGTGGGAACGAGACCGTGGGCTCCATAGTGCCTGCCCTTTCTGAGGAGAAACTGGCAATCTGGGTGTTTTGTTTTGTTTTTTTTTTAAGATTTTATTTATTTATTTGACAGACAGATCACAAGTAGGCAGAGAGGCAGGCCGAGAGAGAGGGGGGGAAGCAGGCTCTCTGCCAAGCAGAGAGCCCGATGTGGAACTCGATCTCAGGACCCTGAGATCATGACCTGAGCCAAAGGCAGAGGCTTAACCCGCTGAGCCACCCAGGCGCCCGCAATCTGGTTTTTTATATGAAACCTCTTCAGCTTTAAACCCAGACAGAATGTATCTCAGGATTGGATAGGGTTCACAGACGCCCCCCACAAGTTAGTCCACTCGGATGTACAGCATCTATGTTTGACAAGATGGGATGGTTTGGGTGAGGAAGAAGGAGGAGGATGAAGCCCAGAGACTCCCAGCCTCCTTTCACTCCCCCAAAGTATCTCTCCTCTCTCGGTCAGCTGTCGGCAGTTCACTCAACAGAGGGGGAAAAGCTTACAATTCATGAAGTAAATCCTCTCAGGAAATATTCATGTCTCATCTTTCCTGGGGGTAAATGGTGGGGAGGAAGTAGGAAAAGTTCAAGGGCTTGAAAGAGTGAAACAGAGGGGACGTGAGGCTTCTCTGGCCTCAGTCTTTCCATCTGTAAAACAAGAGGCCTGTTCTCAACCTGCGCTGTCCAATCCAGTGACCTCCAGCCACATGTCACTGGTGAGCATTTAAATGGGGCTAAGCCCCGTGGAGACACGCTGTATGTGTTAAATACCCACAATTCTGAAGCCAGGAAACACGAGAGAATTTAAACTGTCTCATTAAAATGTATTCATTTTGATGAGATGTTGAGCATATTAACATTCATTTCAACAGTTTCTTTGCCCTCTTACAAATGAGACGGTTTTATGTTACCTATGTCGTTTGTCTTTCTGAACCCCATTATATATGTCTTGAATAGAACCTGTCTAGATGATTCCTAGGTCTCCCACCCAGCTCTGTACACAGATGATTTCCATTTAGCACAGAGTTACCAGCATACCAACCATGCATCAGACCAAAGTCTCATAATGTTAGCGGATAGGACAGGTGTTGGGGCACTTAATAAGAATGTCGTGAAAGAACGAATGCTATGTGACCCTGCTTTATGTGCGCAATCTAGCGGTCAGGCTCGTAGGGGCAGAGAGGAAAGTGTAGTTACCAGGTTCTGCAGGGACTGGGGCCTTTGGCGGTGTTGGTTTCCATTACACAAGATAAGTAAGTTCTAGAATTCTATTGGACAGCATGGTGCCTACAGTTAACAGTGTTATATACCTAACATTTTACTAAAAGACTTGATCTTATGTTAAAGGTCCTTATCCCCAGAAAAATTCCATAAAGAAGGCAGGAGAACACTTTGGGGGGTGATGGGTATGTCTGTAGCATAGGTTTGGCGATGGCTTCTCGGGTGCGTACTTCCCCACGAGCTCATATGTACTGCATTTTTGTGTGTTAGTTGTCCCTCAGTTAAATAATTGTTTTCTTTCTTTCTTTTTTTTAAATTCCATGAGCTCATTGCTAGAATCGAGGGGTGAGCAAAGATTCGAATGATGGACTTGGGAGCCATGAAGTCTGCTGGTTGAGAGGAAGGGGAGAGGTGCCTCATGAGTGGGAAAGTCCAAATGTGATCCTTGGAGAAGTACAGAAACTTGTCGTTTAGTAAACTCTTACCATGGGCACGTTCTGTGCCGAGCCCTTTCTATGCATTGGCTCCATGAATCACCATCCTCTGAAGCAGGCGCTATGACTGAGTCCATTTTACAGATGGGAAACCCGAGTCCCAGGAAGTCTGGCTCCAGAGTCCACTCTCTGGAAGTGGAGGCAGTATAGGGTCATGGTTAGCCTCAAGACTCTGGGGCCAGACAAGCTGGGCTTGACTCCTGGTTCTGCCTCTTTACTACCTACGTCACTTCCGGAGAGTTACTTTGAGTTTCTGTTTCCTCATCTGTCAAGAAGGGATTGCTGCTCCTAGAGATAGGGATCTCTACCTCGTGGAGATCGGTGGCTTGATATATCAGTGCGTTGAGAACAGTGGCTGGTTGTGATGGGGATGGTCATGCCTCTATGTTGCGTCTCAGAATCGGTAAGAGGATCTCTAGGTATGGAGGGCAGATGGCGAAGAGCCTTAGGAAACAGGGTGAACGGCGTGAGAGTCTAGGAAGTGTTGCCAGTCTCATGAAGCCGCCCGGGTTCGGTCCCACATGTGGCAGTGTTAATTGTTCTTTCTGGTGGCTGTTTAGGTCTTGAATCCAGACGGCCCAGCTCCCCGCTCATTGATATTAAACCTGTCGAGTTTGGCGTGCTCAACGCCAAAAAGGAGCCCATCCAGCCCTCGGTGCTCAGACGGACCTATACCCCGGATGACTATTTCAGAAAGTTCGAGCCTCAGCTGTACTCCCTCGACTCTAACAGCGACGACGTGGACTTCCTGACCGATGAGGAGATCTTGTCCAAGTACCAGCTGGGCATGTTGCATTTCAGCACCCAGTATGACCTGCTGCACAACCACCTGACCGTGAGGGTGATCGAGGCCAGGGACCTGCCGCCCCCCATCTCCCACGACGGCTCGCGCCAGGACATGGCGCACTCAAACCCCTACGTCAAGATCTGTCTCCTGCCGGACCAGAAGAACTCGAAGCAGACGGGGGTCAAACGCAAGACCCAAAAACCCGTGTTTGAGGAGCGCTACACCTTCGAGATCCCCTTCCTAGAAGCGCAGAGGAGGACCCTACTGCTGACCGTGGTGGATTTTGATAAGTTCTCCCGCCACTGTGTCATTGGGAAGGTGTCCGTGCCCCTGTGTGAGGTTGACCTGGTGAAAGGCGGGCACTGGTGGAAGGCGCTGGTCCCCAGTTCTCAGGTAAGGGGCAGGTTGGTGGTCTTACCTGCTGGGAGATTTTTTTTTTTTTAAAGCTGATTTTCATTTCGTTCTTTAAATTGCCTTTGCATTTTAAAAAACTTTCAATTTTGAAATAAGTTTTGACTTATAAGCTGTCGCAGACGCCACGGGGAGTTCTTGTGTTCTTGTCACCCAGCAGCCCCAGTCACAAATCTTACACAACCATAGTGTGTTAGCAATGCCAGCAAAGGGACGTTGGCCACGAGGCTCTGGACCTTATTGGATTTTCACGGAGTTTTACACGCACCACTGTGTGTGCGCGTGCACGTGTATGTGTGCGTGCATGTGTGTGTGTGTGTGTTTATGTAGTTCCATGAAGTTTTATCACATGTATAGATTCACGTAACCATCACCACCCTGAGAGGTTTTTGTTGTCGATGCCGGGTTATTTAATAAGGAGAATGATGGTCCAGGGTATGAAGCTATCAGTCATTTTGACTTTCAGAAATTGATTTGGGAAAAATAAAATGAGGGCTGAAGAACAGGATGATATATGGATGTTTTTCAGGCAAATTGTGAGATTGGCTTCTTTCCTCTGACCAGCCCACAGACAGGCAGTTGGCTGCTGGGGAAGCCACCCACGGACCAGGCTCTGTCCCCAGTGGGCTGGGAGCATCCCTCGCTTGGGCATTCTGTGGACTGGAGGATGACAGTGCACTCCGTGGGGGCGGAAGGAGGAGGTGGGCGCCCCAGGGAAGGAAAAGACCCAGCCGGTTGGAGGCCAGTGTCGTCCATTCACGCCGAGGGTGACAATCACGTATAACGCAGGCAGGATTACGTTAGGTCTGACATACCAAGGTGCTTTTCAGAGCTGAGCTCTCCTGGTCAGGGATTTGATGAGCCAGCATCACACCGGAGGACAGGCTTTAAACATGGGGACTGGAGAGGTTGATTTACTGTGTGTGTGTGTTTCCATTCAAAGATAGATTTATCCTTCTCTTCATTTGGATCCCCCAAGAAGGAGAAAATCCCAAGGCAAGGGAAATAATTTATCAGGTAGGTGACACCAGAGGACACATTAGGAAGGAGTGGGACAGTCACATAACGTGTGTATTACCCGGCCGGCCACTGCTGTGGGTGAATGGAGCCAAAACGAGCTAGGGAAAGGAGAAGCCAGTGTTAGACACATGCCTATGAGTCTTTCCACCTGGGGGGCAGGGGAGCTGGGGTGTTTATATACCAGTTCCTATCAGCCATTGAATGAGGGCTGTGGGGGATGGAGACGCTTCTTCCCTGGCATTTCTGACCCGTTACACTGGTGGATGAAGAGATCTTTGATATCCACAGACGCAAAAAAAAAGGATGAGAGCTGGCAGCCGCATTCAGGCCCACATGCACTGAAGCGATCGGGATGGGGACCGAGTGGTCCAGGTGTTACCAGTGTTTGCTGTAATCCCATGTCCTCCTTCCCATCACATGACCAGGACATATTGGATGCTTTCTGTGTAGCCTTCTCACTGGGTTTCCAACCATTAAGAAATTAGAAAGAGGGAGACCCACTGGACCACATCGACTCTGTGTGGCCAAGCTCGATTGTACACATTCAAGTGGAGGACCCTGGACACCCAGGGAATCTGGACATCCGCACACCTTGCCTTGGCTGTAGTGTGAAGTGTTAGAGTCTCAGTCAGCGGGTCCTGGCCCATCTGCCCTAGTTTGATTCTCCCAAAATCCGAGGCCAAGGCAAGGCCCTGGGTGCAGGTGGTTTATTTAGGAGGTGATCCCAGGAAGCAGGAGTGAGGGGGTGAGGAGAACACAGGAAGGGAGGGGAAGGCCAGAGTGGGTCTTCGGGCCAGAATGGCCCTTTGGCTGCTGGTCAGGTGCACTCGCACAGCCTCAGGGACAGCTGTCTGCCTGAGCTGATACCATGCCCCAGCAGGACTTTGGGACGGTCTGTAGCTGGCAACAGAGGCATCTGCCGCATCCCTCTGCTGGCCTGGTGGCCCCCACCTAAGGCCCTCCCTGGCCCCTTCCCGTTGTCTCACAGACCGTACATTCTCTGTTATGTCTCCCCTGCTAGTATGCAAACCCCATGAGGACAGATTTTTATTTTTTCTGTCCACTTCTCCATGCCCTGTGCCTAGAACAGTGCCTGGCATGTGGCAGGTAGCACTCAGTAATCTTTGTTGAATGAATGAAGGATGGAGGGAAGGAAGGATTCCCCGAAGTGAGTTTCTTTCTCTCACCTGCCACCCTCCCTCCTTCCCTCCGTCCATCTTGCTCTAAGAAAGGCTCATGGAAACTGGCTGAGGGAAGAGTGGACTCCCCTCTCCCTTCGTGGGCTGGCTCTGGAAATTACACTCTGTGAGTAGAAAGGCCAGTTGTCCGAGGTTTGGGTTCCCTGGAAGCAGAGCTTGAGATAAGGGTTTGGGTGTGGATTCGTTTGTAGGGCTGCTGTGACAAAACATCACAAATTAGAGGCTTAAAACTATAGAAATTCATTGTCTCCCAGTCTGGATGTTAGAAGTCCAAGATCAAGGCCATGCTCCCTCTGAAACCTATAGGGGAGAATCTTTCTTTGCCGCTTTCTGGCTTCTGATGGTTGCTCGCCGTCCTTGGCGTCCCTGGGCTTATAGCTGCATCACTCGAATCTCGCCTCTGTCATCACGTGACCTTCTTTGTGTGCATCTCTGTCTTACAAGGACACTAGTCCTATTGGATGAGGGGCCCACCCTACCCCATTATGTTCCCATTTCAAATAATCACATCTGCGACAACCGTATTTCCAAGTCAGGTCACATTCTGGACTGATGGGAGTGAGGATGATAACATATCTTTTGGGGGGTGTCGCTGAACCCACAACAGGACCTAGGACAGTGCCCTGCAGGGGAGGGGGGAGGGAAGCAGTCTAGGGAAGGGTGATGGCCCAGGGAGGATGTGGTCTTCGCCTCGATTGCGATTGCGGGTCGGGAGGCGGACTGTGGAACGCAGGATGGCGCTGCAGGGCGCGTCCTCCTCCAGACTGGGAGCCAGTCATTGGTACTCCCACCTCGGTCAGTCTTTGGCTGGGACCCGACAGGGAAATCTGTGGGGTGGCCCTGGGCCTGCCTGCAGCTTCTGTCCTCCAGAATGGTGGTTCTGAGCCAGGGGCAGTCTTGCTCTCAGGATGGTTGACGGTGCTGGGAAGCATTGTGGGTTTGGTGGGTGGAGATCCGGGATGCCGCTGAGCACCTGCGGTGCACGGGACAGCCCCTACCACGAAGAATGTTCTAGCCCAAAGCGTCCGTACTGCCAGAGGGAGAAAGCCCACAGTGGAAGAAGGGGAAATGGAGGCTCAAGGACAGCAACAGGGTCTGCCATGCCGGCAAGACGAGGGCAGGGCTGGTCCCCGCAGGCTAGGGAGCGTTTTTCCAGGAGAAACAGTCTCTGGGAAGCAGGGAGAGCCAGGGGCAGAGGGTGTTAGGAGCAGACATCCAGGTAAGTGTGTTTTCATCCCAAATGTAGAAAAAGAGATACTAGTTCTGAACAAAAGTCCATACTGTGCAAACGAGGCCTGCCTTGGAGACGGAAAACAAAATCCTCACACGGTGCCCTGGAGGCCACTGGATGTTGATGCTGGTTTTCCTGGCAGGCCAGGGTCTGCCTTCACCCGAGTGAGCACTGAACGGGAGGGGTAGATGCAGCTGTGTCTGGGGGTGGAAAGCAGAGCTTGGCAGTTTCTTGTTTTCAGCCTGCCTCGCCGGTGTGGGATCAGTGTGGCTATTCGGGCTGAGTTCTGCATTTCTGTGCCTTGGAGAACCCACGGTAGCGGTGGTGGGTGAGGCCGGCGTGTAGGCATAGTCTGGCTCGCGGCAGAACGTCCCAGCTGTTTCGTGACTTTGAACATTGCATCTTTGATCTTGGCCTTCAGGACAGTAGTGGCTAATGGAGCTTCTGTCAGTTTTTTGGTCTCGTTGATAAGGTTTGGCTAGGAGATAATGAAAATGAGGACAGAGAAATAGAAAGCATATGGGGTGATTGAACAGGTGTGAAGTTACTCTCACCGCTGAGAGAAATTCTGCTCATCCAAGTGGACGGCAGCAGATCAACACTGTGGCCATTGAATGTGAAATCTTTGTAGGCTCTACTTTTTTTTTTTTCTTTTTTAAAGATTTTATTTATTTATTTGACAGAGCATGAGTGGAGGGGAGGGGCAGAGGGAGAGGGAGAAGCAGGCTTCCCGATAAGCAGGGAGCCCCAAGCGGGGCTGGATCCCACGACGTTGGGATCATGACCTTGGCTAAAGGTAGATGCTTAACTGACTGAGCCACCCAGGCATCCCCTAGACTCTACTCTTTCTTTAAAAAATAATATATTAGTAATTATGACAAAACACACATGACAAAATTTACCAGCTTACCCATTTTTAAAAAATTTTTACTTAAGGGGCGCCTGGGTGGCTCAGTGGGTTAAGCCTCTGCCTTCGGCTTAGGTCATGATGTCAGGGTCCTGGGATCAAGCCCCGCATCGGGCTCTCTGCTCAGCAGGAGCCTGCTTCCCCCTCTCTCTCTGTCTGCCTCTTTGCCTACTTGTGATCTCTCTCTCTGTCAAATAAATAAAATCTTAAAAAAAAATTTTTTTTTACTTAAATTCTAGCTAGTTAACATTACAGTGCAACAGCTTAGCCAATTTTAAGTGTACTTTTCAGTGGTATTAAGTATATTCACAGCATTATACAACAATCACCGCCATCTGTCTGCAGAACTCTTTTCATGGTGCAGAATGGAAACTTTATACCTATTAAACAATAGCTCCCCATCCCCTGTTGCCGCCAGCGCCCGCTAGTCACCATTCCTTGTGTTTCCATGAATCTGACTCTAGGTGCCTCCTATACGTGGAGTCATACAGCATTTGTCTTTCTGTGACATAATGTCCTCATAGTTCATCTATGTCATAGCATGCGTCCGAACGACCTTCCTTTTGAAGGTTGTGTAATACCCTGTTCTGTATGTATACTGCGTTTTGTTTGCTCGTTCGTTCAT